TAATACGTACGTCCTACCGTAACCTTCCTAACCTTAACTTAACTTAACTTACTTATAGTACGTACGTCTCTACTACTATTAGTTAGTTAGTTATACTATATATATATATATATATATATATATATATATATATATATATAGGGACTGTATTCAATGAGACCATTTACCTTTGATACAAAGTGGTCACAATTACTTATACCATCCAATGTGACGTTTGATAGCTTGGATGTGTCACAAAGTTCGAGAAAAATTCTTTTGAAGTTTGAGCTTGGTCAATGGAATATATAAGGTGTGGTTTCTATAAGGTTGCAACTTTAAACAATCCAATTAAGGCGCACCTCTAAATTTTATCCTAACATGTAATTTTGGTATAAAAATTCTTATGATTATCTCAAAATCTATTTTCATAGCTAATTATAAAATTTCAAACTCCAAAAATGGTTAAAATCAAGTCGATCTACAAACATATGACCATCGTGAAAATGGACGGTTTAAATAATGTGTTACAAGATGCACTACTTCTAGGATTCAAAATCTTTATTTCTCATATTCATACATCTCTATGTTGAGATGATCAATTAGAGGGTATTTCAACATTCAAACAACCTTTTTCGATGGTTTTTAAGGTGCATCTTTAATTCTACATCTTAATGTTGCAACCTTACATAAACGTTTTTCCATATATATATATATATGGGAGAATATGAGGTTAACCCACTAGCTAATAGTGGCCGATCTAACGGTCGTGACCTCATTTTGTAATATAAGTTTAATATTTGTTTATAAATCCAAATCACATGAAATTTTAAGCGTAAATTCTTCTCATCAAGGCACACCTAATAAAATATTAAAAAAATAATTCGCAACAAATAAATTGATCAAAATACCCCTAAAAAGTTTTAGGGGTATTATGATCAATTTATTTTTTACGAATTAATTGTTTGATATTTTTATTAGATTCTACTATTTTTAAAAAATAGATACTCAAAATTTCAAGTGATTTGGATTTGTAGTAATTTTTTTTAATTCAAATATGAAATGCAATTGTGACCATTGGATTGGTCCAGATTCAATCTGGGCTGTTGGGGTAACACCGTAGCTGTTAGCTAGTGGGCTAATATATATATATATATATATAGGAAGATGCTAGGGTGAGCCCACTAGCTCACAAAATAGTATAAGCCCAATGGCCTAGATTGAATCTGGGTTAATCTGATGGTCGAGAGTATTTGAATTTTAATTTTTTTTTCTACAAATCTAAATCACTTGAAATTTTAAGTGAATATTCTTCTCATCAAGCCGTACCTAATAAAAAATATAAAAAAAATAATCCACAAATTTAAAAATGACCAAAATACCCCCCAAAATTTATGGGGGTATTTTGGTCATTTTTTTATGTAAAATATTTTTTTAATATTTTTCGAATATTCACTTATTTTTTATCAACACACGTCTAAAATTTCAAGTGATTTAGATTTGTAGAAAAAAATTAAAAATTCAAATACTATTGCGCATCCGTGATCGTTAGATCGGCCCAGATTCAATCTGGGCCATTGGGCTCAGTTTTTCTTGTGAGCCCATTGGCTCACAGAAGCCTATATATATATATATATATATATATATATATATATATA